AGAGAGAGAGAGAGAGAGAGAGAGAGAGAGAGAGAGAGAGAGAGAGAGAGAGAGAGAGAGAGAGAGAGAGAGAGAGAGAGAAAGAGAGAGAGAGGTGGCACATGGCAGCCATAATGCCTCAGTTACGTCCGATGCTGTCACACTCCTTTATATAGGCTTTATGTGAATTCGACGGCCATCGTCGGATGAATCAGTTTAACAACTGAATGTAGCACAGAAATGCAGCTAATCTTCTCCGTATCATTTCAGTTTTAACCAATGAGAAATGGTCCAGGAAAAAGAAAGAAATAGCTGGCATATTTCTGAAAAAACATAGAGGAATGTGTGCATTTGTCAGAAAACATGTATATTTGTAACAGAACATAGATCTACTGGTATATTTGTTAGGAAACTAAATGAAACAGAACATAGATCTACAGGTACCTTTGTAATTTGCCATACAATGGTATAATGATCAATCCCTACGGGAACACTATCACTGACCCCTTCCAGCTGCCATGAATCATGGTCAGGTATTCAGTGGGTGCAGCCAGTGTCAAGCATGCCAATTTATCTACTTTCTTTGTAATTTGCCCTACAAGTTTATAATGATCAACCCCTGCATCAACATTATCACTGACCCCTTCCAGCTGCCATGAATCATGATCAGGTATTCAGTGGTTGCAGCCAGAGTCAAACATGCCAATTTTCCGCAAGGACCATAAGGGTCGAATGGTTGCGTACACCCTCGTCAACCAAGGGATCACTTTGTCGTGGAAATCCCTTGCTGGAGTCACCTACAATTGCCGGCATGTTGTGCGAGCATCTGCATTCGAGGAAGATGTTCTTGGTTTGAGCGTGAGAACGGAACGTGAAGCGGTTGCCGATGCAGAACTTTCTCGGAGCTACGGTTTTAATTGGCGTCAGTGTCCTGTTTCTAATTCACCTGGAACACATACTTTCCAGTCCAACGAATTGCCAGATGGATACCATAAATTCTCAGTCGTGGATAGCAAAGAAGCAGCATCTCCTGATGCATCTGCAGTGCACTTCTATTTTAAAATGGGTAAGGCTTTTCTTTTCTTTTCTTTCTTTCTTCTTCTTTTTTTTTTTTTTTTTTTTTTTTT